ATCTTAGCGTGCTTAAGGGACCAAGATCATTTGTTTTTTAGGCAACCTTGTCTAGCGTCATCGAGGGACTATGATCTTTTGTTTTGTTTTGCCAAGATACCTAGCATGCATACCATGGCCATTTGTTTAGGCAACCAAGTGGGTGAAACCCTAGAGGTGCTTGTGTGCAATGTGTTGTCATTTTTCATGCATTTTTGTTTGTCTTGTATTAGGTCATTCTATTTGTTTGATTTTTGTCTTATCATACAAACCCTAGTTTACTAAACATGTATATAATGCGATAAATTGCGTAAAGTAAATCTAAGCTATTACAACAATATTATGGGAGAGGGGATACGAGTTTTTGAATGGGGGATATTACTCAAAATAAAACCCTAAAAATTATTATAACCAAATTGAATTATTGTACAATAAATAAATAAACATACAATTATTTAAATATGCAAATTAAATGTATTTATGCAAAATGTTTTGTATTTATTTTATGTATGATAAAAATAAATTATTTAAGTCCTAAAAAATAAGAAAAAATAATATTATTATTTTTGGAAGGGTGAAAAACCCTAGTTTTTGATTTAAAAGAAAATATGTTCAATATCATTTATTTTATCTATTTATGTACAAGAAATAATAAATAATATTATTAATAAATATTAAAAATTAAAATATGTATAAAAATAATATTTTAAGTGTATGAATGATAAAAATAAAAATGGGTAGTATTCTTTTATTATTTACGAATTATTTTAAGAAAATAATTTCCATTTATTAAAATAAAACTATTTTATATATGGAAAAAATAATAAAAATAAAATAAAAATTGCAAAAAAAATTAAGAAAATATTTTTTGTGATTTTTTAATGTTCATAAAAAAATATTAAAGTCAATAAACATAAAAAAAAGAAGAGAAAATATGCAAAATATAAAAATATGCAAAGGGGGGGGGGGGTGCAAATAGGAATATGGGGGGTGTGGAAAGTCAGAATTGTAAGGCCCAGGCGCGCCAGGCCCAGACAGCCATCTTCGTCCCTGTCCTTGGCTTCTTCGCGCGCGTCCCATGTACAAACCTGCAACTCCCACATACGTGCACAAAAGCAAAAACCCATAACACAAAACATATAGCTCATGATCTCACGATTCCAGTGATATAAAGTTTGTGACCTAACACCCAAAGATCAAGGAGAATTTTATCACCCCTAATTTCTGACCTAAATTTTTCATGAACTTCAAGCTTCAAATTCTCACTACTCAGTTAATATAAATAAAAACTACGCATATGTACAGCTTAAGCAAGTTAAGGACTACATCTTTGCTTCACAAATCTAAGCTTAAGGATGCCTAAATAAGGAGATAGAGATTTGAAAAATACCTTTTTCAGCTGAGTTTGGATATGGCAATGTGGGAACTTTGAGTGAGGCCTGAAGATCGTGTGAGCTTCCTTGAAGTTCCCTCAAGCTTTTCCAATGTTTAGCTGGCCTTGTAGATGTTTGAATCTCCCTGTAGAAGTCAACCTGCAACCTTCCAAAATAAAAATGGTGATGTTTGAAATAGGGGTTACAGTTGCAAGACAAGGGCCTGGATAGTTTAGGTAGGATGTATGTAATGTGTTTGAATTCTTAAAATGAGAAACGCACGAGTCAATATTGATTTGGCAAGGGTTCTGCAGAAGATGCCTTGTTTGGGCAGAAAAATGTGTTTTCTGTGTTTGGGAAGGTTTTTGAATGCTATGAATTCGTGCTTAGGCTTGTAACAAGTTTCTGAAGTTGTTTAGAATAATACAAAGGCTTCTCTTTATCAGATGCACAAGCTCTCTTGATTTTTGCCAATTTGCTTGCTTTTGAAGAAAGTTTGAGGTGACTATGCCAAAGGCCTGTACAGGCTAGCTTGTGGACTGCAGAGGGTTGGTATACTTTTCCTGATGTTTGTGGATCTCGCTTGCAACAAAAGATCAGGTCCATGACTCAAGAAATGTAAAGTTGCAAAAAGGCTTGCTTTATCAAAGTAGCATTGTGAACTTTATGCCATTTTTGGATTAATTCATTGTGCAATGCTTCAAAAGTAAAAAAAAAATCATTATCCATTGAGTTTGCATTTAATTATGGAGTGTAGAAGGGATTAGGACCTGTAATGCAAGATACAAGCATTCTTGAAACTGATTTGCAACTTGAAGCATTGTAAATATGGCTTGCACAAAAGTGACAAATTTCCATTTTCTCTTCTTCGATTCTCCCTAACCACAAATGATCTTGGAGAGTTCTTGGAAATTTTGGAAAGCTTGTAAAATGCTCTACAATCCATATTTGAAATGAATTTTGAGATACCTCTTGCAACTAGGTGAAAAGTTGCCATGAAGTTAGGTCAAAAACCTGTCTAAACTAGGGCAAAATTTCACTAAGTTAAAAAGTTTATGGACCCCTATTCACAAAATCATAACTTGAGATCCAATCATCTTTTGGGAAAACTTTGTGAATCAAAGTTGTAGATTTCATGGAGTACTACAACTTTCATGTTGTAAGTTTTCTTTGAATCCAATTTCATCATGGTGAAAAAGTTGTGGAAAGTTGGAAAAAAATAAGAAATTTCCATAACTTAGAAAAATTCGAAGTTATGAAAAATTTCAAATTAAAATCCTAATTTGCAATTTTAGGTTTCTTGGTCAACAAGTTTCACATTTTGATATATCTTGATGAATTATGACCCTTGGCACTTGATTTTGACCAAAAAGTCAAAGTTTGACTTTTCAGTGTACAGTTGACTTTTGATTAGTTGACTGGAACATTCATCTGTCAATCCATTGCATTTGAGATCTTTTGAACCATGTGATTAGGTCAAGATGATGCTATTGAGTCCTTGAAATCATGATTGAACTCAATTGGCCATTGGCTAGGTTAAAAATCAGAAATTGCCCGTTCTCAGTCAAAACCCTAATTTTGACCATTTTGCCCTTTTGATGATTTGATCAAATTTCTTGAGGAGTTGTGGTCCAAACTTGATCAAATGGTACATATGAGTCTATAATGTTGATGTGGATAAAAAATTATGAAGTTTGACTGTAAATTGGCCATGATTGACTTTTTCCCCAATACAACTGATTTTTAGGTCAACTGTCCAATTGACTGGGCAAAAATGTGATTCAAGGCTTGAAACTTGTCATGGGCAATCTTAGGGGTCCAAGATAGTGTATGAAAGTCACATGAAGAATTGATGATCCAAAAATCCTTGTGCAAACTCAAACCCTAATTTCAGGCCATCAGTGCAATGTGAGGTCTTGAGCTGAGCAAACCCTAATCTTGTCTTGAGTCCAAAGAGTCTTGTGAGGAAAATCTTGATAAATGAGAGGGCAAATTTTGGGGTACAACACATGCCTTCTGCTTTTCACACACCTCTAAATTACTAGGCAGAGCAAAATACACCCCCTTATTTTATTATTAGATTTTAATTACATAATTTACTTATTTAATTTATTTATATTATTTATTAATTATTTTTCTTTTCACATCATTTTTTACATTTGCATTAAAATAACTCTTTTTTCTTATTTTTATTATAAAAATATAACTTATCGTTGATAAATATTATATTTATAATTATTATTAATTATTTTTCTAAAATTATTAACTTGTTTTATTTAATTAATTAATTAAATACCTTTTTAACTAAGTGCAATTGCATTCAAATATTTTCACATTTCACCATGCATTCTAAAATAGCTAATCAACTTCAAACTCTTTTTCTACTAACTTAATTCAAATTCAATATTATTTTAAAAAAAAGGATTGTGAACTTGTTTTCAAAATAAACTTCGATCTACACTCACGACTACACAATTTTTAAACCCGGACGAATTTCAAAGAATCGTTCGAAATCAATTACACAATCCTATAAAAAAAACTAATCAAACACATATGAACTACGAAATTGGACTATGATTCTTCGCAAGGAGATACGTAGGCACGCGGTTAAAACCAAAGCGAGTCTCTTAACTAAAAAATAAACATTTTCTCAAACACATGGAAACAACGTTGTTAAATAGAAATTTCCGATTTACTCCAAAACTTATAAGTGGAGCCCCTTGAGAACAAGGGAGATAAAATGTGTCTTACACCTTTCCTTTATTTAACCGACTTGCGGACTTAGAATCACTTAAACAATTATGGTTATTCGTTATTTTCCTATCCTTAGGACAAAAAGTAGTAGTGACGACTTATTTTTTCCTGGTTACAACCCTATGATCTTTCATCTTGATTCAAACATTGCATTAAAAGCTATATTTTGCTTTATACATATGAAAATTTTGTTGAGTCAACCTTAATTGATGTAATATATACCAACTAATCCTCAAAATTTGGTTTAAGTTTTATGTAACCTTTTGTTATAATTTTTTGATGTAATTTAGTATAATCTGTTATAACAGTTTGATGTCATTTTGTCTAAGTTTGATGTAATATTTTATATAACTCGTTGCAGTAACATTACTCTATGTTTTAATGTACAAATGCATACTGATTTTGTCAATATAACACAAATTACTCCAAACAAAATTTTGGATTTTATAATACATAAATGAGTTATGCATACTTGTTCAATTTAACACAATTTTTTTACAATAAGATGCAAACTGATTTTGCAATAACAGAATTATTAGTAACACAAAATTCCAACATGTAGACTGGTTTTGTCACAAGATGCATATCGGTTTTGCAATAACAGGGTTTTTAGTTACACAAAATCCTTACAAATACGTTCATTGCTCTTCTCAGTCATGTCCATTGCTCTTTCATACAAGGTAATACAAGTTCTGAATCTTATTACAAAACCAATATGATTACAGAGACTGATTCTGAGCAGTTTTGTGTAACTAAAAATTTGAGGTTTGAATCTTACTACAACCAGTCTGAATCTTACTACATAAACTGATTCATACGAGGTAATACATGTTCTGACAGATGCTCGAGCATAGAGAACGAGAATTATAAGGGTCATTATAATAGAGCAGTTTTTTATAGCACTCTTGCAGCTAACATATGACTATTAGCATGAAAACTGCCAACACATCTGAAACTAGTTTGTGTAGTCAAACATTTTCTTCCTCGTGGATCTCGACTAAGCCCGTATTTCTTCAGTGTTTGAATGTAATTTCTCATAAGGGTAAATTTGTTGCTTCTTAGATGATAGAAATAATCCCAGGAAGAAATACCAGTTTTATGCAAGTCATCAAAATTGAGCCTGGATCAGCCGATTAAACAATCAGATTTTAGTCGAGAGAGACTATTAGATTTAAGCAAAGAATTTTATTTCTAATGTCTGAAACTGTAGTACCTTATCCCATAGTTTCCTACAGGCTCAACAGACATAATTCTCACATGACGTCTTCTAGATATCACCTAGATTAACAGAATCATCAATAAAGGAAGCATCATTAAAAACAAATCAACTGATCTCGAATTCAAATCTATTTGAAATAATGAAGTTACCTTTTCACCTCCAATTGATTGGATTTTTCCATCAACTGCCGGGCTATTTATTCTGAGAAACTCAGCAGACAGCTTGAATACACTACCATTGGCAAATTCTACTTCTACATGAAACAATAATGCTGAAGGATGTAAACAAAAAACAATAGATGAGATAACATTTCTATCAGCTTTAATTACCAAACTTAAAATCAATTAAGATTTCAACCCAAATCTAGGTTTCTACAGACATGTTGGTGTTCAACACTTGTCTTAATTGATAATTTATATTGATTTGATTTTTCCAAAACTTCTCTATCTATTGCAACCTAACATATGTTGAAGAGAGAAGAAGCTCACATATGTTGGGGGTTGAAGAGAGAATTTTGTTAGACGTGCAGATTGTTTTGCCACTGTATTGAATCTCCTAATAGCTACCAGCATAACTTTCCTTGTTGAAGTCACGTTACACTTACGTCTAAGGAAGTCGTGAAGGAGATTTATTATCAAAACCCATGTTAGTTCAATAAAATCATATTATACAACTTTCAGGCAATGAAATCAGAGAATAAATATCATTCAACTGTAATTGATTAATACAAGTTGTAGTTCACACAATCCTAAGAAAAGAAATATGCATGAGCTACATAATTTAAGGGTGAAAATAAACTGGGTCGAGCTAGGCTTTGCCAAACCTGAGTCTGGTCTTACTAAAAAAGGCATTTTTTATGGCCCGTGGCCTAGCCTATTTAACTAAATAGGCTTATAAAAAAGTCTAGACCTTCTTCTTAAAAAAAAGCCTAACCTGATCTTGTCCTGTGTAGGTTAGATCGTAGGCCCTGTTAATTGGTCTGAATGGAGCGAAAGAACCAAGTGGTTTGTGGTAATGTCAGAATTTGCACCTATTTGTCTCTATTTAGTGATCAGTCTGCTAGTTTCTTTGATCTTACTCGGTCTTCCTTTTCCCTTTGCTTCCAATAGTTCGACCTATCCAGAAAAATTGTCGGCCCCCAACCTATATATCAACCAAACATTTTATCAAACATCTACTGTGCAAAATAAATTTTAAAAAAAAGGGTATGAGTTACACATAGTGTTATTATATATTTAACCACAAGAATTAAGCTTACTTTGATGCTAAGGTTGAGAAAGTAGAGTATGTTGGATGAAGATATTGTTGCTTATATAAGAAGAATACAGTTCAACATTGCATTGCTATGGTTCTGTGTGGTTTTCATCCAATCTTTGCTTCTTTCAATACTGCATTAAGAAATTGATATATACTCTTTGAATTATAAAAAAGTCAAACTACGAAAATGTCCTCATTAAATTAAAATATTACTATATTGACCCTCCAAACTACGTCAAATAAATAAGCCCAATATTTAAAATCCCCAGTGCAGCAAATTTAACGCATCACTCTTTCTGCTTTCCGTCCACAACTATCGTCGGCGCCGCCGTAGACTCCATTGCGCCGCCGTCAACTCCATTGCGCCGCCGTCATCTATTCTCCTTCCCAATTCTATTTTTCTTCAACCGAGGTACTCTTCTCTCTTCCTCTCTCTTTAATCTCTAGTTTTTTGAAAATCAACATGTGCACTCACAAGCTGTTTGTGAAAACGCCTCAATGAGGTTCATACATGTTACAAAAAAAAAGATATTACTTCATGGTTTTGATTTCCTTTGTATATTTACATAGCAGATAGATTTCTATAAACAAGTAGATTGCTATAAGATAGTATTGGAAATCATACACAATCATCCATTAATGTTAATTTTTGTTATTTCTCCTTTCTGTTATGATATTATGAAATTACCCTGAACTTGTAAAGAGAGTGATTTACATTTTTTTTTTTGTTTCAATTACTGTGTGGCAATTGTTATGAGTTAAGGGTTGTTTATTTTGAACCAAATTGTTCATTCTTGTTACCAATAGTTATGGCCTACTGGTTGATTTTCTTAAATGTCTTTATAAATCTAAGTTTTATTTTCTAGATGATCCTTGATTATCATGTCTTTGTTATACAACAAGAAAAACAACTGAGTTCAAATGTTTTGATTTAGATGTCCAACTTCGGTTTTGGAATTGGATTTAGAGTTGTCATATAAATGATTTTAGTGGTTTATTAGTTTAGGTGATATGGGACAATCCAACTTTGAAAAGGTTGGTTCTTAATTGGAGATTCTTATAATGACAGAGGTACTGTGTGTTCTTTCTTGGTCTCCAATTGAAATTTTGAAATCGGGAAATACGGAAAACTGACTTGCATTGTGACTTTATTTTGGAGTTTTATCATATGTGAGGGGTTTGGTTTACCTTGTTTTAGTGTTTTTGTGAGTGTCTGGTTCATGAAAGAAAAAATCAATTCCATATTTAAGTGTTAATCTACTCCCTTATTTAGCAATTTTAAGTAATTCTTTGGGTAAGTTTAATTTCATAATCATAATTTAATATTTCTTAACTATTGTATGATGAAACTATAGTTTATTGTATGATGGATTTATAGTTTACTTTTCTACTTGAAATTTTTAGATCTTTGTAGTCACAACAATTGTATTGTTGGTGTTTGATATCTAGCTCTGGATCATGAAAAGAAGGTTACACAAAATTAAGTGTTTATGTGTATTTTGAGAATTTGAGTTATCTTCTCTATTTAGTGTTTATGCATCTAGTAATTGAAATTGTGATCAATTAACTTATACCTATGGTACTTTTATTTGAAGTTGCTTCGAAATAGGAAGATGTAGATGACTAATTTTAGGGGATGTAGAGAATGTAATTGAGTTCTGCACTGCTTTAATTAAATGTTTTTTCATTGATAAAATGGTTAACTGTTTTGTTTTCAGGCAAAAAAACGGAAAGACTCTACTATGTGGACTCCCATGGATATAGTTTGTATGCACAAAGTCTAGACTGTTTTGTAAAGTCTATTAAGGTGAATTTGGGACAAAAAGTTTTTTTTTTTAATAGAATTATTTATTTATTATTTATTTTCTAGTTTGAGAATATTATTTTTCAAAATTAAGTTTTTTTTTTAAAAAAATTATTAATTTTTGATTTGGGACCTATATATTTGGAGGATCATTATTCTTAGGTATTTTTAGGCCCCCTCATCATGTGGGCTGGGGCCCAATAATTGACAGCTCTATATGTCTATATGTTGAAAATGAATGGATACCTAGTTTCACCTTTTGTCCCAATGAAGGAGAATCTCTGGATAATTTGATTGAGATGTTTAGTATTTTATGGTACAAGGTTAATTTTTACATGAGTTGCATTTCTTTCCCTATTTACATGCTTAATTTATAAAATTTGAATAGATTTTCGTGATGTACGTCTAACTCTTCCGGTATATGGACAGGTAGCTCCAGATTTCATATCATATTTTGGATGTATTTGTGATGTTGGAACATGTCAGAAGACTAACAGCCTTAACACCAACCATAAACCTCTCCATCTTAGAGACCAACTTACAAAGATGCCAATGGGTGAACCAATTCAAGCAGATTCTATCACAAATGATCCTCACTGGCTTCATCACAGACACCTATGCTGCAAGCAGGCTCATCAACTTCTCCACTCACTCCAATTTCATTCCGTTCTATTACTCCCTCAAAATATTCAACCACCTTCACAACCCCAACACCTTTATTTGGAACACCGTCATGCGTTCCCACTTAGAGCATCACAATTCACCTCATCAAGCTATTAATTTTTACAAGCTCTTTCTCTTACAAAATACTCCGCCTGATCATTACACATATCCGATTCTCCTCCGATCGTGTGCCGCTCGAGTGTCGGAGCCTGAAGGACAGCAAATTCATGACCATGTTGTTAAGTCTGGTTTTGATTCTGATGTTTATGTTAGGAACACGTTGATTAATTTGTATGCTGTTTGTGGGAACATGGTGAGTGCACGTAAGGTGTTTAAGGAAAGTCTTGTGTTAGATATGGTTTCATGGAATACACTTTTGGCTGGTTATGTTAATGTGGGTGATGTTGGTGAGGCGGAGTTTGTGTATGACCGGATGCCGGTGAGGAACACCATTGCTTCTAACTCCATGATTGTTTTGTTTGGAAGAAAGGGTTGTGTTGTGAAGGCGCGGAGGCTTTTTGATCTGATTGAAGGAAAGGATATGGTTTCCTGGAGTGCGTTGATTTCTTGTTATGAACAAAATGGGATGTGTGAGGAGGCATTGGTTTTGTTTGTGAATATGAATGTTTGTGGGGTTATGGTGGATGAGGTGGTTATGGTTACTGCTATCTCTGCTTGTACAAGCCTCTCGGTTGTCCTGATGGGGAGGTCGGTGCATGGTTTGGCAGCCAAAGTAGGGATTCAAGATTATGTTAGCCTTCAGAATGCATTGATACATTTGTACTCAAGTTGTGGGGAGATATTGGATGCTCAGAAACTTTTCAATGGTGGTGTCTTGTTGGATCTGGTATCTTGGAATTCAATGATTTCTGGGTATTTGATGTGTGGCTTAATTGAGGATGCTAAGACATTGTTTGATTCCATGGTTGAGAAGGATGTTGTGTCTTGGAGTGCTATGATATCGGGTTATGCTCAACATGGATGTTTCACAGAGGCCGTGACTTTGTTTCAGGAAATGCAGCTTCTTGGAATTAGGCCGGATGAGACTGCTTTAGTGAGTGTCATCTCAGCCTGCACCCATATGGCTGCTTTGGACTTGGGCAAATGGATTCATGCATATATAAGTAAAAACAAATTTCAGGTTAATGTCATTTTGGGCACGACACTTCTAGATATGTATATGAAATGCGGATGTGTTGAAAATGCATTAGAGGTTTTCTATGCAATGGAGGAAAAGGGCGTTTCTACCTGGAATGCTCTCATTCTTGGGTTGGCAATGAATGGTTTGGTAGAAAAGTCACTTAACATGTTTGAAAAAATGAAAAATACCACGACACTTCCTAATGAGATAACATTTATGGGAGTTCTTGGGGCATGTCGACACATGGGCCTAGTGGATGAGGGGCGCCGCTACTTTAGTTCAATGACCCAAGAACACAAGATAGAACCAAATGTTAAACATTATGGATGTGTGGTTGATCTTTTAGGACGTGCAGGTTTGCTTAAAGAAGCTGAGGAACTGATTGAGAGTATGCCAATGGCACCTGATGTCGCTACTTGGGGTGCTTTGCTTGGGGCTTGTAGAAAGCACCTTAACAATGAAATGGGAGAGAGGTTGGGAAGGAAACTCATCCAGCTTCAGCCCGACCACGATGGTTTCCATGTGTTATTGTCAAATATATATGCTTCAAAAGGAAATTGGAGCAATGTTCTTGAAATTAGGGGAAATATGGCACACCATGGGGTGGTGAAGATACCTGGTTGTAGCGTGATTGAAGCAAATGGAACAGTTCATGAATTCTTAGCAGGAGATAAGACACATTCTCAGATAAAGGATATTGAGCTTATGTTAAATGTAGTGGCTGCAAAGCTAAAGATTGAGGGCTATGCACCAATCACAAATGAGGTTTCATTAGACATAGATGAAGAGGAGAAGGAAACTGCCCTTTTCAGCCATAGTGAGAAGCTTGCTGTTGCCTTTGGACTAATCACTATACCTCCACCTGCTCCAATCAGAATAATAAAGAATTTGCGCATATGTAATGATTGTCATACTGTTGTAAAGCTTATCTCCAAAGCATTTGATCGTGAAATTGTCATAAGGGATCGTCATCGCTTTCATCACTTTAAGCATGGATCTTGTTCTTGCTTGGATTTTTGGTAGCAAAAGCTGCAAAACAGTCTGTACAATTGATGTGAATGGGTATCCCTTGCTATGCTTAAGGAAAATACTCTGAAATCAAAATCTTTACAATGTCCTGGACTCAATTATAGAAGCGTGTAGCATCGACGATCTTGTTAGATTTGGTCAGTGTCATTGATGTTGAAATCAAGTTATTTTTCATTCTTATGCCGTAAGTTGTTTCCAAAAGCTTCTGTTGGTATAGAATGAAGGCAGCAGATCATGATATACTTCACAAGATACCAAATGCTGCAAGGTGAGTTAGTTTTAATATCTGATTGGAAGTATTTTAGACCTACATATTGTGTACTGTTTTGTCTGTGTCCTGTTACATAGTAAAAAGAATGAGAAAAATGAACAATGCATATATACACGAGTTATTTATTGTTTTTCCATTACTGATAATAGGATCCCCAAGACAATAAGTGGTAAACTCTGAAATACAAACTAATAATGTCCTTCTTATCACCAATCACTAATAATTAAGAAAATGAAAGTGATTGAATGTAACTACTTGTGTTGGTGTTGGACACTAATACGTGTCACGCACCAGACACGCATTCGATTTGAAGTTTCGGTGCTATATCTTTTACCTTTGCTTGGTCTATATGTTTATGTTATGTATTTCTTGGTTTTTGTTTCCTGGAACTGACATGGCTAATAAATTAACGTTACTGCTCAGAATTCTGAATCAGGAGCACGGTGATGATCATCGAATACATTGCTCTAGAGGAATAAGTAGAGAATAGCTTGGAAGATCATTCTAGTTGTATTCTACCATATCCAAATATAAAAAGGGTGAGTCTCTTGATGCTACTTGCATCAATATTATATGACTGATAAGTGTGCATGTTCTTGATATATGTTTTTTTGCTGCAGTCTTTGACGCCATATGTGGAAAATGAAAAATATAACATCTCAAGGTGTGGGCTTCATGCTGACAACGATATATACAGGGATCGGGAACAGCATAAATCAACAAATGAATGGCAGTGTAGATACTGTAAGAACTTTCTACGAAGAGAAACATATTGATCAGCAGCATTTTGACAATGGACGTTCCAATTTACTTAATTTGGTATGATGCGTGTTCAGTATAATCAATACAATTTTTATGCTTTCCTCCATTGATGAACAAATAACTAGTTAGCAGAAAAATGGAAAAAACAAATATATAGTGTTTTTAAAGCATTTGTATAGTTCAGTAAGATATGTGAAGTTGTTAAACCTTCTGAAAATTTTGGTAGTTTTCTCTACTCGGTTTGTTGTGTTGCAGCACTAATCACTAAAATGAGATCATCTGTGACCATGAAATTAAATACAGGTAAAAAAAATCACAGCACTATCCTGCTGCTGCAGCAAGACATAAACATCTGATTGAGGTGTGCTTCTGTTTTTTGTCTGTTCAGTTGTGTTAACCCTTACTGCAGCAGAGGATGATATGCAGCAGAGCATAATAGACTTCACAAGGTACCAATCCATTTTTTCTGATGCCGCCGATAACAATCTTTTCAGCTCCTGGACTCTGAAGTGAATAGAATCAATATATAAATAAATCAATTACAAGGGATGCATTAATCTTTTGTATTTCTATCTAATAGTTATAGAAGAAAGCTATGTTGTTCTCTTCATATTTAAGCATTTTGGATGGATATTAAACATGCACAGTTACTGTAAAGGCGAAGCCACTATTTTGTAGAGTCACAACAACTATAACAGTCTGACTGACTGTTAACTTTTTAAACTCATTCAAAAGACAGCTTCACTGCTAAGGTATGTGTGTGCTCGCATTCAAGTTATGGATACAACATAACATAATGATCTGATTGGATTGGCTAATGCTTTTAGGCCAGTTCTCACTCACAACGAAAGCAACATAATGTTTGTGTGCTCACATATATGAACCAACCAAATGTTATACTAGTATCAACTTGTAAATCTATATTTATATGGTATGTTCAGGAAAATTGGTTTTCCTATATTAAGATAATGCTATTTCAAAAATAATTATAGAGATACTTCAATTTAGCAAGCATCATGCTGTCCCCTAGTAAATCTTAAGTAAAAGCAAAAGGGAAGGGCAATCCAGAGATTCATTTTTTGAGATGAATGTGTTTATCAATTTAATGTAATGTTATTTAATTGAAGTTATCTTGTTAGAGATGATGTTGGTTTATTGGCTAACAACATTACAGTGCCAAATTAATAACACCAAATAAATATTTCTCAGAAAACAGTTGTTTCATTGTGGTCTTTCTTGGAGAAAATGTTGGCCAAGGATAGTTTATATGGAGAAGTGATATTAATGAAAGTAAAATAACAAAAAAAACGTCTCTTTAATTTAAAAATGCACCTCATTCATTCGACACACTCTCATTTTCTCATAGTTTGAAAATATATTTCTGAAATGATTTTGATAGTCTACTTCGGTAGTAAATTTTGGTAATTGATTTAACGGGTGTGCTATATTGACACCAAAACTTACATTCAAATTTGAACGGTGTATTTTGATTAAAATAATTTTATTTTATTTTAAATATTTATTTTTAAAATTTATTTTATAACACAAATATATGATTGTGATATTAACTAACTTTACAATTGTATTAACTACAAAAATATACATCATTAACTAATTATTTTACTTATAATTCATTAACTACTTTTAGTATTTTATTAACTAATAAAATACGTGGTATTAACTATATTCTGACACTAAATTATAAATATTAATTAATTTTTATACTCTATTAACTAATTTTATTTTACTATTTACTATTTTTTTTTTGAAAATTCATTAACCAAGTTAAAAACTGTATTAATCAACTTTATAAAAATTATTAACCAAAATTTGAACGGTATATAATTTTGTATGTTAGAATATATATTATTTTGTATGTTAGAATATATATTAATCAAATTTAGAAGTGTATTAAACAAATTTTAATATTTCATTAACCAAAATAATTTTTTAAAAATAGAAAATTATATCAAAAAATTAAAATAATAATAAAAATATTGTTCACGTATTTATGAACAATGTATTAGATATAAGCATAAGTTTTTAGTGTCAAGATATCTTTTCTCTTGATTTAATTGATTTCATCCTCAAGAAAGTGTTATTAGACATTAGTATACTAATAACGTTGTTAACAATTCATGTACAATATCCAATATTACTTGATGTCACAAACCAGCGAAGTGACAACAAACCAAATCAAGAGTGATGCTCATTAAAAAAGGAAATTTTGTATCACATTTTATAACTTTTTAGCGCACTACGTGAATTTTTAAAAATGTTCTCGATTTTTAGAAATGCATTTTCAGAAGTATCTCACACATACATTTCTTTCATTTTTGAGATACGCTTCATTTTATGACTAAATTTATTTCGGAAATGTATTTACAGAATATTTTCGAAAATGCATCTCTGATTCTTAGTAAACTATTTTGGCTAAATTACAGTTTTAGTCTCCATGTTTTGGTCTTTTCACGATTTTAGTTCTCTTATTTTGTTTTTAAACACTTTTGGTCCCCTATCCTCATTTTGGCTCCAGAAAACACTTATGTGTCATTTTTTTTAAGATGTGGCATTTTAAATTCGTTCACTTTTTCCAAGTCATTTTAAATATTAAAATTAAAACTAGTTGGATTATTTAAAGGACACTTTCATCTTCTTCATCACGTTTCCAGTTCTCGTCTAGGGTTCCACACGACTGCAACTTCGTGTTTCTAGTTCAAGGGGTTTCATGTTCATCTGTGACTTCTTACTTCGGCATTCCACTACAACTTCTTGCTTCCTATGGCATATGAATCATATAGCATTTCAAACAACCTCTCTCATTCTAGGAGAAGAAGGATTCAGTGTTATTGTGGGTTGGACTCGTCACTTGGGTTATGATATTAGCGTTGCTGATAAAAATTGTGGTTGGATAATGTAATGTTAGTGTAATGTTAACGTAATATTAGTGTGATGCTAAGTCAAATTTAAGTTGACAATGAAAGTTAATGGAATTAGTTTGCTCAAAATTATGAGTCTGTTATCAAGTTTCTCTACTATCAATATATGGTTCAATTTTCTGAGATGTTACCAAACTATGGTTCAATTTTCTGATATATTGAGATGTTATCAAAATTCTGAGATGTTATTAAAATATGGTTAAATTCAAAATTCAATATGGTTTGCTCAAAATTATGAGTATGTTATTAATATATGGTTTAATTTTCTGATACAAAGATGTTATCAAAATTCAAAATTTTGATCCAGTACCAAAATGTATCAAATTTCTGATTCAAAATTCATATTTAAACATTACCAAAATGTATTAATCCAGTACCAAAATGTATCAAAATTATGATTCAAAATTCATATTTAAACATTACCAAAATGCATTGATCCAGTACATATTAAAAGCTTAACCTAAGCTTCAAAAGGATTATCACCAGTAGGTTTGTCAAACATTGCACAAAAGGATTACACAAAAATATCAATTGACTACATAATTCCTATCTAGTTATTTCTTGTGTTTGAGGCGCCTGCGATCCTTGTGTCAAAACGATAGGTGCTTCGTCGGTTGATGCCTTCTTTTGCTTCTTTGTCTTGTTATTTCCCGAGGTTGATGCTTTCTTCTGCTTCTTTTTCTTATTACTTCCTTTGGCCAACTGTCGATCTTCCGCTTACTTTCCTTTGCACGTTCTTGAATTGTGCCCAAAATTCTCACAGCTTTTACACTTGACAGTTGTCAAATTTCTAGGCAAGACATTGCTTGAAGTAGGCTCATTATTAGATTTGTTTCTTTTCTTTTTGGGTCGTCCTGGAGCTCTCCTCATGACTGGTGGATTAATTGGTTCACCTTCAATTATTGGCCAAAGTCTTGGACTATTAAATGGTAGAACAATATAAGAATATGTTGCCATGAAGCTTATTTTTCTGTTCATAAATAGTTCACATATGTGCAATATTAAGTCATAACAGGCAGTGCAATAACAATTCATAACAGGCAGTGCAATATAAGTTCACATCAGTGCAATAAAAATTCATAACAGGAAGTGCAATATAAGTTCACATCAGTGCAATAACACTTCATAACAGGCAGTGCAATATAAGTTCACATTAGTGCAATAACAGTTCATAGCAGACAGTGCAATATAAGTTCACATCAGTGCAATAACAATTCATATCATGTAGAAATAGTATAGGAAGTTCATACAAGATCAGTTCATACAAGTTCATATCAGTTCATACAAGATCATTTTAGTAACATGTAGAAATAGTATATGCAGTGTAGCAATGCAATAGAAATAGTATCAGTTCATAATGCATAAAAAACTTACCTAGAATAGTGTAACACAAAAGGAAATGTTTCAACCTTGTTGTGGAAAATACAACCAATGGCATGGACACATGGAATGTCGCTTAGAGCCCAAGGTCGTAACCGTTCATGTCTTCCCCAAATTTCAAGACATCTGCGTCATTGTTAAGAGGTCTAAGCCCATGCTCAAATGAAAAATTCGGGTGATGATACCACATGCCATTGATTCTTACATAACCCAACTCATTGATAACCTTGATAAAGTCCATATAACACATATAATCAACATCAAATTCTCAGTTCATTTCTTCTACCTTTCCATTAACATATATCTTGCAAGGATAAAGAATAAAGTACCCCATGATTTATCCTTAACCTAACTGCATTTCTATCAGCTGGCCTAAAACAAATCAATACACCAAATAATCACGACATAATAAATATGCATGAAGGTTGAGGATTTCAAAACAAGAAAAGTCTCACTTCACAACATACCTTGAACAATACTTCTGATCTTCCTTAGACCTAGAGGAAGGTTGGCCATAAGAGTAAGACATTTCTACACGAGAAATCAAATTGAAACTTAGGGTTTTTGTGGATGATAAACAAAAGGCACAAGCTTGAGACTTGGAATTACCTAGAAATGAATGAATGTTGCTTGTATCATTGTTGCTTCTCTGTTTTTCCTCGTAGTTTCTTCTTCGTTGCTTCTCTATTCTTCCTCGTCGTTACTTCTATCGTCGTTTGTGTTCTGGGAGATGAATGAAGGTTATTTGTTTTCACTTTGTTTATGTTTAATTGATTTATTTATAAAATTATTTTATAACATGAAAATATAATCTGGAATATATTTTAACACATTACCTTATGCCACGTAATATAACATACGATAAATATTACTTTTTTCTACACATAAGCGTTTTATGGAGTCAAAGTGGGGATGGAGAACCAAAAGTGTTTAAAAACAAAATACGGGGATAAAACTCGTGAAAAGACCAAAACAAGGGGACTAAAACTGTAATTTAACCTCTATTACAGTATGAATATGGTAAATAAATATACTATCGAGCCTCATTATATAATTTCAATTATTACCAATGTATATGAAATATGTATCATTAATTAATAATCTTTTACATTATTTTCTTAGTGATGAAGTAACCTAAAATTTTGTGACGGAGAAGAAGAAAAAAAAATTGTTTACATCTATTATACCATAGTAAAATATAAATATGGTGAATATATATACTATAGAGCGTCGTTATATAATTTTAATTATTACCAATGTATATGAAACATGTGTCATTAATTAATAGTCTTTTAACTTAGTTTTTTAGTGATGAAGTAACCTAAAATTTGGTGACGGAGAAGAAGAAAAATATTGAAATTGTTTACATATATTATACCATAATATAATATGAATATGATGAATAAATATACTATCGAGCCTCATTATATGATTTTAATTATTACCAATGTATATGATATCTGTGTCATTAATTAATAGTCTTTTAACTTATTTTCTTAGTGATAAAAAAACCTAAAATTTGGTGATAAAGAAGAAGAAAATATTGAAATTGTTTAAATTGATTAAACCATAATACAATATGAATATGGTGAATAAATATACTATCGAGCCTCATTAAATACATTTAATTATTACCAATGTATATTAAATATGTAACATTAATTATTAGTCTTTTAACTTATTTTGTTAGTGATGAAGAAACCTAAAATTTGGTGATCGAGAAGAAAAAAATAATGAAATTGTTTACATTAATATACTATAATACAATGTGAATATGGTGAATAAATACTATCGAGCCTCATTATATAATTTTAATTATTAACAATGTATATTGAATATGTGTCATTAATTAATATTCTTTAAATTTAGTTTCTTAGTGATAAAGTAACTTAAAATTTGGTGATGGAGAAGAAGACTAATATTGAAGTTGTATACATCTACTATACCTTAATACAATATGAATATGGTAAATAAATATACTATCGAGCCTTATTATATAATTTTAATTATTACCAATGTATATGAAATATGTGTCATTAATTAATAGTCTTTTAAATTATTTTCTTAGTGAAGAAGTAACATAAAATTTGGTGACGAAGAAGAAGAAAAATATTGAAATTGTTTACATCTATTATACAACAGTACAATATAAATATGATGAATAAATATATTATCGAGCCTCATTATATAATTTCAATTATTACCAACGTATATGATATATCTGTCATTAATAAATAGTCTTTTAACTTATTTTCTTAGTGATAAAGAAACCTAAAATATGGTGATGGAGAAGAAGAAAATATTGAAATTATTTACATCATTAAACCATAATACAATATGTGTATGGTGAGTGAATATACTACCGAGCTTCATTATATAATTTTAATTATTATCAATGTATATGAAATATGTTTCATTAATTAATAGTCTTTTAACTTATTTTTTTAGTGATAAAGAAACCTAAAATTTGGTGATAAAGAAGAAGAAAATATTGAAATTGTTTAAATTGATTAAACCATAATACAATATAAATATGGTGAATAAATATGCTATCCAACCTGATTATATAATTTTAATTATGACCAATGTATATGAAATATGTAACATTAATTAATAGTCTTTTAACTTATTTTCTTAGTGATGAAGAAACCTAAAATTTGGTGATAGAGAAGAAAAAAAATAATGGAATTGTTTACATTATTATATTATTCTACAATGTGAATATGGTGAATAAATACTACCGACCCTCATTATATAATTTTAATTATTACCAATGTATATTAAATATGTGTCATTAATTAATATTCTTTAAATTTAGTCTCTCAGTGATGAAGTAGCCTAAAATTTGGTGATGGAGAATAAGACTAATATTGAAATTGTATACATCTATTAGGCCTTAGTACAATATGAATATGGTGAATAAATATACTATTGAGCCTTATTATATAATTTTAATTATTACCAATGTATATGAAATATGTGTCATTACTTAATAGTCTATTAAATTATTTTCTTGGTGATGAAGTAACTTCAAATTTGGTGACAGAGAAGAAGAAAAATATTGAAATAATTTACATCTATTATAACATATTACAATATAAATATGGTGAATAAATATAGTATCGAGCCTAAAATTAGGTGATAGAAAAGAAGAAAATATTGAAATTGTTTACATCTATTAAACCATAATATAATATTAGTATGTTGAATAAATATACTACCGAACCTCATTATATAATTTTAATTATTACCAATGTATATGAAATATGTTTCATTAACTAATAGTCTTTTAACTTATTTTCTTAGTGACGAAGAAACCTAAAATTTGGGGATCGAGAAGAAGAAAAATATTGAAATTGTTTACATCTATTATACAATAATAAAATGTGAATATGGTGAATAAATTATATCGAGTCTAATTATATAATTTTAATTATTACCAATGTATATGAAACATGTCTCATTAATTAATATACTTTAAATTTAGTTTCTTAGTGATGAAAGTAATCTAAAATTTGGTGATGGAGAAGAAGACTAATATTGAAAATGTATACATCTATTATACCTTAATACAATATGAATATGGTGAATATATATACTATAGAGCGTCGTTATATAATTTTAATTATTACCAATGTATATGAAATATGTTTAATTAATTAATAGTCTTTTAAATTATTTTCTTAGTGATTAAGTAACCTAAAATTTTGTGATTGAGAAGAAGAAACATATCGAAATTGTTTACATCAATTATACCATAATACAATATAAATATGGTGGATAAACATATTATTGGGCCTCATTATATAATTTTATTTATTACCAATGTATATGAAACATGTCTCATTAATTAATAATCTTTTAAATTATTTTCTTAGCGATAAAGAAAACTAAAATTTGGTGTTGGAGAAGAAGACAAATATTGAAATTGTTTACATCTATTATACTATAATACAATGTGAATATGGTGAATATATATACTATAGAGCGTCGTTATATAATTTTAACTATTACCAATGTATATGAAATATGTGTCATTAATTAATAGTCTTTTAACTTAGTTTTTTACTGATGAAGTAACCTAAAATTTGGTGACGGAGAAGAAGAAAAATATTGAAATTGTTTACATATATTATACCATAATACAATATGAATATGGTGAATAAATATACTATCGAGCCTCATTATATGATTTTAACTATTACCAATGTATATGATATCTGTGTCATTAATTATTAGTCTTTTAACTTATTTTCTTACTGATAAAGAAATCTAAAATTTGGTGATAAAGAAGAAGAAAATTTTGAAATTGTTTAAATTGATTAAACCATAATACAATATGAATACGGTGAATAAATATACTACCGAGCCTCATTATATACATTTAATTATTACCAATGTATATGAAATATGTAACATTAATTAATAGTCTTTTATCTTATTTTTTTAGTGACGAAGAAACCTAAAATTTGGGGATCGAGAAGAAGAAAAAAATTGAAATTTTTTACATTTATTATACTATAATACAATGTGAATATAGAGAATAAATACTATCGAGCCTAATTATATAATTTTAATTATTATCAATGTATATGAAATATGTGTCATTAATAAATATTCTTTTAATTTAGTTTCTTAGTGATGAAGTAAACTAAAATTTGGTGATGGAGAAGAATAATAATCTTGAAATTGTATACATCTATTATACCTTAATACAATATGAATATGGTGAATAAATATACTATCGAGCCTTATTATATAATTTTAATTGTTACCTATGTATAAGAATTATGTGTCATTAATTAATGGTCTTTTACATTATTTTCTTAGTGATGAAGTAACCAAAAATTGGTGATTGAGAAGAAGAAAAATATTGAAATTCTTTACATCTATTATACCATAATACAATGTGAATATGGTGAATATATATACTATAGAGCGTCGTTATATAATTTTAATTATTACCAATGTATATGAAACATGTGTCATTAATTAATAGTCTTTTAACTTAGTTTTTTAGTGATGAAGTAACCTAAAATTTGGTGACTAAGACGAAAA